CCATGTGGTCCTTCTGTGGGGTTTTTCTATGGGGTCCTTCTGTGGGGGTTCCTCCATGTGGCCTTTCTGTGGGGGTTCCTCCATGGGGTCCTTCTATGGTGGTTCCTCTGTGGCTCTTCTGTGGGAGTTCCTCTGGGGTCCTGTGGGGATGCTTCCATAGGGTCCTTCTGTGGAAGTTCCTCTGTGGTCCTTCTCTAGGGGTTCCTCCATGGGGTCCTTCTGTGGAAGTTCCTCCATGGTCCTTCTCTAGGGGTTCCTCTATGTGGCCCTTCTGTCGGGGTTCCTCCATGGGGTCCTTTTGTGGGGGTTCCTCTGTGGTCCTTTTGTGGGGTTTTCTCTGTGTTCCTTCTCTAGGGGTTCCCCTATGGCAGGGGTGGCCAACCTGTCGATCGCAAGATCTTCTCTAGTCGATCGCATGGCAAAGTTAAACTTAATGATCCATCCTTCTTAAGCTGCCATACAAAAATCCCCTTCAAATTTTACTTATAATCATTGGAATATTATATTTGTTTAGATTTTTTCTGGGAATAGATTATCATTAGGGACACATCAGAGCGATACATACAAAAAAACTTCGTCTGTGCCATACTGTGTGTGGCGGAACCTGATAGGAAGTGTTCGCATTCATATAGTCCGGTGCTGGTTGGTTCCTGGTGAGGAAACTGATCAGCAAGTTGTCATCAGTTGTAGGCTAAAACTAAGCAGGTATTTGCTTTTATATGTTTACAAATACACATTAAACCTTGTATTAATGAATTTGGTAATGAAAAAGTCGACTCGATATTGAGGAGTCTTGTCAAAAGTAAAGAGAGAGTGAATCATATTTGGCAACCTTGCCCAGCGAGCCCACACACTTGTCACCAAGAGTGCAGTGATTTTTAGTCATCCGCATTACTTGGAAGTGTGAGGTGCTGCCTCTTGTTATGGAAAAGTCTTGGGTGATTACAAGAATTACTGACTTTTTAGCTTAGCGACAGTTCTCGCCGCAACCCTAGAGGAGACAGAAGTGTCCACACCAGCCGGCGACAATTGCTTATGAAAAAATAAGTTCAGAACGTTACGCTGTTACGTTAGTAATTCTCATATTCATGTAGGAAAAGTCATGGAAAAAAGTAATTCTCGTATTGACATACGACTTAATCTTTTCCAAATTCAGGTGTAGGTTATTGGCCATCAACTGAACCAAAAATGAGTTCTGGGCCAAGTACTAAAAATACCCAAATTTACCATTTTCACAATGAATGGGAAGAAGACTATTTTTTTACCATGAATAATTTGAAGTGTCTGTGCTTGATCTGCCATGTGTCTCCAGCTCTAGCTAAGAAAGAAAATCCTGAAAGGCATTTCAAAAGTTTTCACAAGAAGTATAATAATGATTTCCCACCCAAAAGTGAGCTATGAAAGAGGAAAGTTCATGAACCATTGCATCATTCAGGGTGAGTCGAGTACAGTTGTACCCCACTTAACGCGGTCAATAAAACCCAGAGGGTACCGTGTTAAGTGAAAACCGCGTTAAGTGAACAACAGAACATATGGGATTAATTCCAATAGAAACCGGCCCGACCCCCAAACTCCACTTTTTGACGACACATAACTATGTTGTAGTAAAAATAACATCTGAATTTTATGATGGTACATGCACACAATTAATACTTAAGAGAAATAGAGAAATACAGTCGCCAAGTTAATGTCCATTCAAATAATGGACTCAACTCCCTCCCCCTCTCACACTACATTGCTGGCTCTTCCCTCTCTGAGAAATTTTTGGGGGAAAACCACTAAATTTTAATAAATAACACCTCAAACTAAAGTTAGGATAATACAATTGACATTGCTGGATTCCTTGTAAGACCAGGAATATTTTGAATATAAATGTCATATATTTTGCACAAAAGAGAACATATTTACTCAGAGTAAACATTTTATCTAAAATTTGTATGTCTAATGCAAAATATATGATGTTTATATTCAAAATGATCACCAAATTGTAAGAATTCCAGCAATGTAAATTATATTCTGGCCGGGTAATTTGTATGAATTTTATGAGCTAAAACAAATATCTTCAGTTAATAAAAAAAAAAATATTCTTCACGACACTATCTGTCAATCAAAGTACCCCACCTTGCCTCCCCCCCTCTTCCAACCGCGCGGTCAGTCCCAACCCTCCCCCCCACCCCCCACCAATCCTCCCTTCAAGAGAAAGGTTGGGTGAAAAAACTAAATTTTAACATTTTGTATTAAATAATACCTCAGATTAAAGTTAGGATAATATAATTGACATTGCTGGATTCCTTGTAAGACCAGGAATATTTTGAATATAAATGTCATATATTTTGCACAAAAGAGAACATATTTACTCAGAGTAAACATTTTATCTAAAATTTGTATGTCTAATGCAAAATCTATGATGTTTATATTCAAAATGATCATCAAATTATAAGAATTCCAGCAATGTAAATTATATTCTGACCGGGTAATTTGTATGAATTTTATGAGCTAAAACAAATATCTTCAGTTAATAAAAAAAAAAAATATTCTTCACAGGGTAACAGATGGTCGGTCGGTCCCTCCCTCCCCCCCACCCCCCACCAACCGTCCCAAGGAGATGTGTGGGAAAACCAGAATATTTAACTTTTTAGTAATAAATAATACCTCAAACTAAAGTTAGGATAATATAATTGACATTGCTGGATTCCTTGTAAGACCAGGAATATTTTGAATACAAATGTCATATATTTTGCACAAAAAATAACATATTTACTCAGAGCAAACATTTTTTCTAAAATTTGTATGTCTAATGCAAAATCTATGATGTTTATATTCAAAATGATCATCATATTGTAAGAATTCCAGCAATGTAAATTATATTCTGGCCGGGTAATTTGTATGAATTTTATGAGCTAAAACAGGCAGGGTGGCGGGTGGCGCAAATCTAAAAATAGCGTCTCGAGCCGGACACTCACCGCGTATATGTGGAAAAAACCCTCGTTAAGTGAAAGTTCAGCTCTGGCGAGGCACCGCGTATACGGTAAAACGCGCTAAGTGAAACCGCGTTAGGCGGGGTAATACTTTACTCACAAAGCATAAAAAAAAATTTCATGATGGAGAAATATTCAAAGAGGCCTTTTTAGAAGCAGCATATTCGTTGTTTGAAAATTTAAAAAATAAGTCTGAAATACTGTCTTCTGTTAAGGATGTTCAGTTATCAAGAAACACTGTCATGAGGCGCTGTGAATTTATGGCTGAGGATTTGGGTGACCAACTGAATACAGACATCCATGAGTGTGTGTTCTTTTCATTACAATATGTTGAGTCTACTGATGTGGTCGATACATCAAAATTATGTATTTTCATTAGAATGGTGTTTAAAGACACGAGTACCAAAGAGGAACTGCTGAAAATTCTACCATCAAAAGGAAAAACTCAGGTTGAAGACATATTTCAGACTTTCAGTGATTTTGTTAATAGTACACAGTTGCCATTAAGTAAGCTCGTATCTAAAAATACTGATGGAGCACCTGCATTGGCTGACCGAATCAGTGGGTTCATTGCCCTGTGCAGGAGTGATGGTAGGTTTCCTAACTTCTTTTTTGGCATCAAAAGATTGGCCTTTTGATCACAACGAAGTGTGGCTGTTAGATTTAGCTTTTTTAGTTGACATGACGCTATGCTGAATAAACTAAACTTAGATTTGCAAGGGAAAGATAAAACTATAGTTGACATGATGAGTCCTGTGACTGCTTTCAAGCAGAAACTAAAACTAGTGTCTTCGCAGTTGCATCAACAACAACTACGAAACTTCAGAAATATGATGTCTGAACAAGAAAACCAAGGAAAATACTGTGACCAGAGTGACAGTGCTCGATATATTGAACAGGTACAAAACCTTGCCTCATATTTTGACCAACGGTTTCAAGATATAGCAACAATAGAACCTGTTGCAACATATATGTGTTTTCCATTTGGTAAAATCACAAATGTTGAAGATATTGCTTCTAGAATGGACATATATGAAGTCGAAAATGAGCTTCTGAAGCTTAAAAATAATATTCAGATCAAATCCAGGGTAACAGGAGGAAGTTTTTGGAAACTTCTCAGTGAAGAAAAATATCCCAATATCAAAAAATGTGCCATATACCTCACAGCATTTTTTGGATCAACCTACCTTTGTGAATCAACATTTTCACACATGAAACACATCAAATACCGATCAACACTGTCAGATGAACACCTGGATGCTTGCTTGAGGCAAGCAGTCACCGCCTACAGTCCTAATTACACAAAGCTGGCAGACTACATGCAGTGCTAACCATCTCATTAGTAAAGTAAGTTTATGATTTTGTCATGTTAACAATATATCATAACAATTATTAAAAAAATATTATTCTCTCTCTCTCTCTCTCTCCGAATCTGCATATTTTATGGCAATGGGAGGGGGGTGGGGGTGTTTTGGGTGAATATTAGGCTGGTAGATCGCGTCAGGGTGACTGGAAAAAGTAGATCACATCACACAAAAGATTGGCCACCCCTGCTCTATGGGGTCCTGTGGGGGTTCTTCTATGGGGTCTCTGTGGGGACCCCCACAGGGATACACGTGTTTACTTCTTACTTCCATGAATTAAACCTGGCAGTCAGCAGAAATCATGATGTCACATGATACTCCTGTGCATGCTCAGGGTTGTGACTTTAACTTGATCAGTTATAAGATAGCTTCTCTGTTACAGTGAGGGACGCTCTTTCTCAGATTGGCAAATCATTCAATGTGATTTTGTAAATAGTGTCACTGCAATTGACTTTGTGCGATAATTTTTTTTATACAGTTGTGGAAATGTGTTCCTTTCCTATACCCCTGTGGTAACCTATGTCTCCAAATGGCCAATCTATGTGACCTAAACTTATCCACCAGTCAAGTCCGTCATTACAATACCAATATCCATTCATTCATAAATAGTGGTACAGTGATATTCTCGCTAGCTGGAGCAATTGGAGCAGAGCACTTCATGGGAATTAGAGATTTCCGGGTAACGAAATGACTCTGAAACCCGGAAAAATCCCTCATACCCAGAATTTTTCCGGGTACTGGGAAAAGTTTCTCAGAATTTTCCAAAAATTTTGCATTATTTCATCCTTGGAATTTGCTGATATTCAACAAAGTTCAGCTGAGCTAAATTCACTTAATATGGCGGGTGTGAGGTCTTCGTTACTTACCTGAGATAGTTGAAAGTGTCATGTGCCAAGTAAGAATTAACATAGCTTAAACATCGCCAATGACACACTGCGCTCCATACCTCGGTGGCCAATCACAGCACTCCTCCCGTTCTATAAGTGCCTGGCACTCTTAGTGCCTGGCACTCTTAGTGCCTTGTAAACACATCTCTTCCGGCACCCCCATCCCCCGAAAAAAAGAACTGTTTTATGTTGCTGCTCCTTCCCAACATGAAAGTACTGTACATTCATACAATTACCCTCACACAAAAAATAATTACAATATCTTTAATGGTGGAAAGGTTATGTCACTCGTTTGAGGATTATACTGTATAGTGTGGTTTGGTTTATGCAAGTGGAGAAAAATTCAGTTATGTTTTTTCTTCCAAAATGCCATTCATTTTCGTTCCTGAAACTGCCAAAGCACAAATGAAGATGTGTTAAGCTACATGGTTCAAAAGATGTGGCAGTTTGAAAGTTTAAAAACTTTAACTGCTTTTTCTCCTTTTTTTTATTTTGGCATTCGGCTGACTGTGTTACTGATAGCCTTGTATACTGTACAGTACTTGTACAGTATATGAATTGATGTGCCTAAAGTTTTGTGAGATTGAGGACAACATCTAATCATTTCACCACATCAACTTATTAGCCATTCAAGCAGTTGGTTTGTTCTTTGTAACGACTTTCATTGTCGAGCTTTCTTGTGTGTACTGTACAGTATAAGTTCACTGTTGTGGCCATACGAGCTGTGCACAAAGTAGCTTTAGTACTGAGTGTGATGACAACTTTCCGCCTTGATGTCGTACTTCTTATGTGGATTATATTTCAGGATGATGTTCACTGTAAGGATGATGAGCTGATGGTGGAAATACCCACGAAGACCTACTGCAGGAGGATCGAACCATCACTACCTCTTTATGTTACTATGAAGATCGATGACTACTTTCGGAAAATGAAAGACGCCGAAGGTTTAATGTGTGATACACGCACTGGTGACGACTATGGAATGACAGAGATAGCAGATGATGAGAATTATAGGGAGCAAGACAGACCACATAATGATGTGTATGACAAGGAGAAAATAACAGCCCCCAATTCTAGTTATCTGGAGGACAACAGACGACGTAAAGATGTGTACAACACGAAGAAATTAACAACAGATGATGATGATGATTACAGGGAGGAAGAGAACACACAAAACAACTGTACAGAAGAAGAAATAGTTAATGGCAGCCATTCATCAGAAGACAATACACCAAATGATGATGATGATGATTACAGTGAGGAAGAGAACACACAAAACAACTGTACAGAAGAAGAAATAGTTAATGGCAGCCATTCATCAGAAGACAATACACCAAATGATGATGATGATGATTACAGTGAGGAAGAGAACACACAAAACAACTGTACAGAAGAAGAAATAGTTAATGGCAGCCATTCATCAGAAGACAATACAACAGATGATGATGATGATGATTACAGTGAGGAAGAGAACACACAAAACAACTGTACAGAAGAAGAAATAGTTAATGGCAGCCATTCATCAGAAGACAATACACCAGATGATGATGATGATGATTACAGTGAGGAAGAGAACACACAAAACAACTGTACAGAAGAAGAAATAGTTAATGGCAGCCATTCATCAGAAGACAATAAACATAACCAGCCTGATCATCACCACAAACTGAAGGTAAGAATTACATTTATTTAAAAGAACTAATATTCATCTTTTTCAACAGTGTGATTATATATTGTACTGTATAGTTGAGTGTGTGAGTATGATTAGTTTATTGTGACTGTGTTTAGTTGATTGTTTGAGTATGATTAGTTTATTGTGAGTACGTATGTATGTATACTGGATATGAATGTGGGTATGTATTTATACTTTGGAGTGTAGATGAAATAGCCAGTGTTGCTAGCATTGTAGAATTTATTTACAATCATATGTAATCTGATACAGGGTATAGATTTTACATTAAATGTTCAAAGTTCCGGCTCTCTTTCTGAATGCAGGCTTTAACCTGTCGCAAAAGTGACTGTTGTCTTTATTTGAATATTCTAGGGGTATTGTGAATACTCTTGTCACTGACTTGCATTCAGCGCCTCAATTCTTCCTGAGTCTAGACCTCTGTAGCATACACTTTGCATTTAACATGACCCCTCAAGTAGGCAGTCAAGCTGATACAGCGCTCGCCTCTTGTTCTTGGGGTTGGTGGTTTGATTCTCAGGCCCTCCCAGTTCACCCAACTGTAAATGGGTACCTAAGTTTACAACGTGGGGAAGTGAAGGCGGTCGAGTGCAGTACTGGCCACGCTGCCTCCTTGTGTACTGAAGGCTTAGTATACAGTGTGCTGTATCCACACTGTCCTGTCCCTAATGGGCAGTCATGCATGGGACCCAATTTCACTTTTTTCAAGTACAGTGATCCCTCGGTTAACGAGATTTCGGTTACCGAATTACCTTCCATAAGATTCTTAACTTCGGTTAACGAGCATTCCCTCGATTAACGAATTCCTTACGAGCGGCCCTCATCATGTTTTCGCTTGCACACCAGTTGTCGTATTAGCCCGCCAATACAGTAATCGGTTCTAGGGTTTAAATTCCTTACCATTTTAGTAAATATCAAGAAGGTTGTACTATTCAATCATTTTAAAAGTTTAATATTAAATTTTTTAGTCATTTTAACAATTATTGAACATAATTGAAGTACAGGAAACTAGTTTTATGTGCGCCAAACAGCGTGTCAACACACCAAACAGGAGTCAGTCTCTGTGTCTTTTCAGTGGAGGTAACATCTTGCTTCAGACTCACTTCAACATAAATGCTTTTTTTCTGTGTTTTCAGTCAAATTATTTATCATTTTGAAATTTATTTTACATATTGATGATATATAGAGCAGTGCAGTGTTAATTTAAAGAAAATATTCTTTATTTACAGCAATTGAACTTAGAATAACACGTGTTGAAATTGTTTTTGAATCCAGCATGGGTCCCATGAAATCTAGAAAAGCGATTTCAATTCAGATGAAACAGGAAATAATTAGAAAACATGAGAAGGCATTAGAACAAATGTTCTAAGCAAAGAATATGGCATGTCGACATCAACTGTATCGACAATTCTTGCACAGAAAGACAAATTCAAGGAAGTGAAAGTGAGAGACAAGTCTACCAGAGTGTTCAAAGGTAGATCCCTAATAGCAGAAACAGTGAGGTTACTTCTCATCTGGATTAGAGAAAAACAGATGAAAGGTGATTCAGTTTCTACTGAATTTATTTGTGAAAGAGCCAGGGAAATATACGAACATTTAAAGGTAAATCAACCTGGTTCTTCAGGCACAGACTTTGAAGATTTTAGGGCCAGCAAGGGCTCGTTAAAAAATTTAAGAAAAGAAGTGACATATTTAGTGTTAGGCATGGTGAGGCTGCCAGTGCTGATAAGGAAGGGGCAACAAAGTTTTTAGTGGAATTTAAAGAACTGATGGAAGAAGAAAATTATCTTCCACAGCAAGTGTTCAATGTGGACGAAACTGGGCTGTTCTGGAAAAAGATGCCCAAAACAACATTCATCACCAGAGATGAAGCCTCTTTACCTGGGCATAAACCCATGAAAGACCGTCTCACTCTATTGCTTGGTGCCAATGCTTCAGGGGATTTCCGACTGAAGCCTATGCTTGTCTACCACTCTGAGCACCCCAGGGTGTTCAAGCAACAGAAAGTGGTAAGAGGACGGCTTGGAGTTTATTGGAAATCCAACCGTAAGGCCTGGGTAACAAGACATCTCTTTAATGAATGGGCTGTTGAGGTGTTTTGCCCTTCTGTGAAGAGCTACCTAACCACCAATAAACTCCCTTTAAAGGCTCTAATCCTCATGGATAATGCCCCTGGTCATGACCCTCAACTTGCCAGAACTTTGGAGTCTCAATTTGACTTTGTCAAAGTGTTGTTTTTGCCTCCCAACACTACATCAATCATACAGCCAATGGACCAGAATGTGATCAGCAACTTTAAGAAGCTGTCCATGAAAATTTTCAGGAGGTGTCATCAGGCAACTTCCACTGATCCTGAACTAACACTGGCACAGTTCTGTAAGACACAGTTTAACATCCTGGAGGATGTAAAATTGATTGTGTCTTCATGGCAAGAAGTCTCCACTAGAACCCTCAATTCTTCATGAAAAGCACTGTGGCCATCAGTAGTCCATGATTTTGAGGGATTTCAGGATGAAACAGAGTTGCACCAGGAGATTGTGTCCATTGGTCAGTCATTTGGCCTTGAAATGGAGGAGGAGGATGTAGAAGAGCTTGTGATGTCTCATGAACAGGAACTTACTCCTGAAAACTTGGAGCAACTGGATGAGATGTTAAGAGGCTGACAGTGGTGAGGAGGAAACGGAAAGTGATGACCATATGTCAACCTCAGAGTTGAAAGATGTTGTTCACCACTGAAAGAAGTTCAGGAAACTGGCTTTAAGGCACCTACATGTGGAAAAGTCTGAACTAGCTTTGTGTCATGTTGAGGACACAGTGGTCTCCTTCTTCAAACATCAGTTAATGATGAGGAGGAGAGATGCCCCACAAACAAAAATTGACAGTTTCTTTAGTAAAAGGCAGCGGGAACAAGATGCTAGCCCTCAGCCTTCCACTTCATGAAGGAGAGATGGTGTTATTGGTGGAGAATCTGTCAGTCCAGAGGTTCCTGACATTTTCATGGAAGGTGACTCACCTTCCAAGAAGCAGTAAAATGCTTCTCCTCCACCTCCACTTCCTTCTCTTCTCCCTTCTCCTCCACCCTCATTCTAATTCCCATCATCCAGGAGCCTTCTACATACACACCTCAAAGTAAGTGTACTTTTCTACCTTTTTTGTTGAATTTAGGCAATTTTCGGTGAGCTGGAACCAATTACCCAAAAACCCATTGAAACAATGGTTTCGGTTAACGAGCAACCTTCCAGAACGGATTGTGCTCGTTAACCGAGGGACCACTGTAGATGTCAAGAGGATTTAAGTCAGTTGATCAAGGTGGCTATGGAACAGGGCTGCCAGATCCTATCCACCTGTCAGGATACCCAGCTTTTAAGAATTCTGGGGCACCATCATGCATGTACCACAGTTGTTGATGTATCCTCATGGGCATATCCTCAAGCATAACTGGCAAAGTGTCCTCAAGAAAATATTTCTCCCCATAGACTTGTTACAGTCCTCCCCTACCCAATTTTGTGGTGTAACTCCAGAACTATGGGATAATGACACTATGGTCATGGAGTCATTTATCCTTGTGTATGTTACAGGAATACAACCCCAGAGTTATGAAACAAATATCCAAAACACTCTGTATACTGTACAGGGTAATTTATTGTGTGTACGTATACTGTAGTTGATTGTGAGTATGTATACAGTGGTCCCTCAGTTAACGAACGCCTCGGTTAACGAATTACCTCCCATAAGAATCTTCAATTCGGTTAACGAAAAAAAAATTGATTAACGAAATCCTTACGAAAATCACATTTTGTTTTGAACATCAGCTGATAAGCTGAGGAGGTACTCAGCCAATTCAGTGATCTCTAATATGTTTACATTCAAACTAATCACTATCTTATAAGAATTCCAGCAATGCAAATTAAATTCACCACAGTCACTTCTATTAAATTTTATAAGCAAAAAACAAAAATTCAATCTAAAAGATAAAAAATAAACTAACAATTAAACACTTCACACCACAGGTGCCAACTGTCAAACATGTCACTGTCACCCCTCCCTCCCTACCCCCCACCTCCCACCTTCCTGAGAAATGTTTGGGTAAAAAGACTAGGTTTACAGGTTTAAAAATAAATAATACCTCAGACTAAAGTTAAGATAATATAATTTGCATTGCTGAAATACTTGCAAGACAGGGAATATTTTGAATATAAACTTCATATATTTTGCACAAAAGATAAAATTTTTGCTCTCCCTAATAAATTTTTTAAATTAGATCTAAAATTTGTATGTCTAATGCAAATTTTAGCTTGTTTATATTCAAATTAATCACTATCTTATAAGAATTCCAGCAATGTAAATTATATTCTGGCTTTACTTTGTATATACTTTTCTGCTAGCTGGAACCGATTACTCAATATCCCATTGAAACAATGGTTTCGGTTAACGAACGACCTTCTGGAACGAATTGTGTTCATTAACTGAGGGACCACTGTACTGTAGTTGATTGTGAGCATGTATACTGTAGTTGATTGTGAGCATGTATACTGTAGTTGATTGTGAGCATGTATACTGTAGTTGATTGTGAGCATGTATACTGTAGTTGATTGTGAGCATGTATACTGTAGTTGATTGTGAGTATGTATACTGTAGTTGATTGTGAGCATGTATACTGTAGTTGATTGTGAGCATGTATACTGTAGTTGATTGTGAGCATGTATACTGTAGTTGATTGAGCATGTATACTGTAGTTGATTGTGAGCATGTATACTGTAGTTTGATTGTGAGCATGTATACTGTATTGTGAGCATGTATACTGTAGTTGATTGTGAGCATGTATACTGTAGTTGATTGTGAGCATGTATACTGTAGTTGATTGTGAGCATGTATACTGTAGTTGATTGTGAGCATGTATACTGTAGTTGATTGTGAGCATGTATACTGTAGTTGATTGTGAGCATGTATACTGTAGTTGATTGTGAGCATGTATACTGTAGTTGATTGTGAGCATGTATACTGTAGTTGATTGTGAGCATGTATACTGTAGTTGATTGTGAGCATGTATACTGTAGTTGATTGTGAGCATGTATACTGTAGTTGATTGTGAGCATGTATACTGTAGTTGATTGTGAGCATGTATACTGTAGTTGATTGTGAGCATGTATACTGTAGTTGATTGTGAGCATGCATACATGATTTATTGTTTAACTGCTCAATAAAATTTAATCTTTTTTAGGTAAATAATCTCACATTGTATTTGGGTCTCAAGAAGATTCACATGATCCAGGGACATTTCATAGAGAGAAACACGTGAGAGCTTCCCAGTGACTGTTCCATGCATACGAACACTTACAGTGATTGCTACATTATACGTATGATGTATCGTGGATAAGATGATTCGACCAAAACTACTCATTCTTGGATGGAAGTACAGTACAGTACTGTACAGTACATTATTTTAGGTTATGTTGGGTTTGGTTAGGGAAGGTATGAAAAGGTTGTTGGGAAATGTTTCTCGAAGTTCTCAGGTGGACAGAGCGAATTTATTTATACCATCCTTCGGAAAAATAAAATTACTAAAATTGGAAAACCTTGAAGTAAAAATAAGTCGTCTTCTAAAGGAACATTTTTAAAAGTTGCTGGTTAACCCAGGCCTTTGTTCCAGAATATTACCTTCTCTGGTATCCAAGGTAGAGGTCACTGAAACTGACTTGAACTTGGTGATCCTCTGACTTCTCTCATCTTTTTACTTTTACTCTTAACCTCTTCACCACTGATCTGCTCGTTAGCTGCTTGGGTGATCGGTTTTGTTTCTTGTTATGCACTGTTGGTAAGTACTGGGCATGTACTGGCTCCTGAATGTATCTGAACCTGCTACAGTGTTAGTCAAGTCTGGTATTGAAACAGCTCACACTCGGTGCTCTCACAACACTCTGGCAGGTTGTTCCATGAGTTTTCACTCCAAAAAGTTACTTCTCACAGTTTCCTGGACTTACGGCTTCTTCAACCTTGAGCTGTGACTCCTTGTGGGGCGAGCATCTGCCAGCTCCAGGTAAGAACCCTTGACTGAGTAGTGCCCTTTGAGATGTTTATACACCTCAGCTATTGCAGGCACTCTAATGTCTCTGGGTAGCTGAGGTGCCGAAGTGCCGGCAACCAGTCTGGTGGCCCTCCTCCGGACATTTTCAACCAATTGACAGTCCCTAGCATATCTCGGGGACCAGACGGGGTGGCAGTACTCCAGACAGGGAAGCACTTCACTCTTCTTATAAGACCTAATAATTTAGTTGCATTGGTCACCTTCACACAATGGCCCGAGAACTTCAGTTCATTGTCAACATACACACCCAGGTTCTTTTCACATTCAGTTTCAATTAATGCAGCTTCTTCATCCTGTTGGGACATATGATACACCTCCTTACTGTTGGTACATCCCAGGTGCAGCCTCTTACACTTCGTGACATTGAATCTTAGCAGCCATTTCTTCGACCATTCTTGAAGCTCACAGAGTATTTTCACAGTCTGCTTGTTCTTAATTTCCCAAAATAACTTGGCATCATCCGCAAATATTTGTATGGAGGAATGTACAGCTTCTGGCTTTTATTATGAAACAAACAAACATCAGCGGGCCCAATACACTGCCCTGGGGTACCCCGCTTGTCAAGGGTACACATTACGATTTCGTGCCATTAAAAACCACACACTGCTTGCAATCATGTAGAAAGTCTCCGATCCACACAACGACACTTCCCCAAATCCCGTACCCTTCCAGTTTAATTTCAGCCTTTCATGGGGGTACTCTGTCGAAAGCCTTGGCAAAATCTAGGTTTATACTGTCAATATTGCCACCCTGTTCCAGAATTTGGGTCCAAACATCCAATACCTTGAGTAATTGTGTAAAACAGGAGTGTCCTGGCATAAAACAGTGTTGGCAATCCTTTACAAGGTTGTTTTGTAGCAGATGTTCCATCATGGCATCTCTTATTGGTGGGGCAGCTAAATGCAATTTTTCAAGAGAATCATGCAAATGGTGATACAAGCACCAAATTTGGCATGGTAATTCTCTAATGGTTACTAGTCAAGTCTGCCTAATTGGCCATTTGAAAATCCAAGATGGCTGCCATATTAGGGTGTGTCATACGGAGGCGAATTTTTATTTTTTGAGTTTGAAAAATCGGCCCATGGTATTAATGATGTAGTTCTATGTGCAGAATCATGTGATATCTTCAGATTTGAAAAGTTTTTATTTTTTGCTAGGTAAATTTTAACTTGAAATCTTATGATTATTCAGTATTCCCACCCTTTTACCAACACCACTAAATAGCTTATTTAAAGTAAAGTAAATGTATCAGGTTAATTTATTAGGATGAAAATGATCCAGAATAGTAAAACGAAGACCGAAAGAGATCCTTACGACTGTATTATTCGTATTAATATTTAGAAACAAATCATCAAGCTTCTAAACCGGTTTTACTACTTTCACGACCCGGTGTTGCTGCACACCGCGAGCATGTCTTTTCTTTGCTTCTGTTTCTACTCATCACCTCCTGCTGACCACCCTGGGCTTTCCGGATCAGCTCAGCCTTCCTCCTGGCTGTACCTACGTGACTGCTAGCCTCGCTCACTTGCTGTACTGGCAGCTCTATACTCTGGGTGTGCGAGGCCAGGCAGAACATGCATGGGTTGCTCAGGAAAGCTCTGACAGGTATTGAGGCTGCCCAGGTAAGAGGGCTCACTGCCCAGCCCTGGATGTTATCCAGATCTATGAGATCAGTGAGGGTCTTGCTTTCATTCAGCTTCAGTCTTACAGCCTGAGAATAAATCTTAACTGATTAAGTCATGCTTAGACTCCTCTCATAAGTCTCATATCAGATCTTTTTGTCTTCCGCTCTTCTCTCCTCCTCATCCTTACTGCAGAGAGTGTCTGCAGAACACCACCCTCGGGATGAGCATACCAGGGAAAGATCTCACTGGGAGTCTGCTCCCGTCTGAACAACCTTCGCCCAGCTGACTCCTCAGGAGCTCCAGCTGAAGAGCATGCCTCGGGACCTTCCAGGCTTGACTTGACCTTGGTGTTGAACCAATTTACAGCAGTAGACTCCGATGGTGGACAGCCGTCTCAGGTTGTGGCTGGTTCTTCAGTTTATGATAAGCAGAGCCCAAATTCTGCAGAGACACAAGGCTTGCGTTGGCAGGCTACACCTAGAATGTGAGACTGGACCTATCTGCAGGTAAGCAAGTCTATCGGCATGACCCCAGTTTTGATGGCACTGCAAATCATGCTAACCACCAGCTGAACCAGTGTCAGGTCGTCAATGACAGTATGTGCAAGCTCGAGTGGAGGGCCAGCTGTGATTTTTTCAAAAGCTGGATTTAATACTACTGCTGTGGCAGGGAATTCAACCATCTTGCCAGGGAGGACCAGACCATCTGTGAATTTGAAGAGTCTTGCCATCCAGCTCCTGGATCAGATGTCTCTGAGTGGCAACTCGTTGGTGTGGAGGGTCTACAATAATCCAGACCAGCTTCCTCCCAATCTTCGCTCTATCTGTATGACCCCCGCCCTTACCCTGTGTTGCCGTGTTGAATTTGTCCCCTCAAAGTGGCCTGCAGGGGTCTGGTCTACGTTCTCTCTCTGAGCCAGTTCACAATGTTATGCACTATCTCAGCTGGTTTCCTCGTCTCATCTTTCTCACCAGGTGAAATGCAAATACTTCCCTCCTGGTTCACTGCAAAGCAGGAGGTAGTGTTCCTCCTTCACCACATGGCAGGGAACAACTTGTGAAATCCTTTCATGAACACTTTGAGTGTCATCCCTTCTCCCATCAAAGACAAACAAGTGATTCCATTTTCTCTTATCCTTATCAAGCTCCTCTTCTAGATTTTTAACCAAAGTTTCTCCTGAGCTTTCTCCATACTGGTATGATCTATCACAGGTGAACTTGCTCAGTGGGTATCAAACCACCCGTCCAATCAGAGCGAGCTGTTGCTATCTCTACCAGATTTCTCTGAGACCAGTGTGGTGGCGCATGCTGGCCAGAGCTATCTTTCGAGGATATCTTTCCTATTTCAGATGTTATACCTGGAAGGTTTGGGATCATTGACCCCTTTTTCTGGGTTAGGGACAAAGTCACCATTCTCCTGGTCAGCCTCGCGGATCTAGCCCTTACAGGAGATCATGATTCTGAATCAGCTTGAGCTCCAATCACCTGACCCTTTTACCTCACCCTGGGCCTTCTCAAGTCTCTTTTCACCTCGGCTGCTCTACTCCTCTTCTGTCTCTCTCTCTGTTGGCAGCCTCTGTTCTCTTGGACTCTAAGATATCTTGGCTACTGCATCATGAGCCCCTATCTCGCCGTCTTCTCTCTCACCAATGCTTTGACAAATGCCAGTTCGATCACAGAATCTTCAGTTCCTCTTGCAAATACAGGAGATGGGCCTGGGATTTACAGTCACGATGCATCAAACTCAGGACAGAGAACAATTGGGCACTTGCAAGCCATTATGTCAAATAACTGGTCCAGTTGGCAACAACTGTCATCAACTACTATTTTCCTCTCCCAAGAGATATCTCTTGCCTTTTCCCAACTTGGCCTGTGATCTCTCTGCAATCTTCTTCTGACTTCAGTATGACTGGAGGCAGACGAGCATAGCCAGAGTGTACTGTGCCAAAGGCAGCCTTGGTCATATCACTGTATCTCTTTTGTTTGTGTAAGTTCTTTGGATTTCTTTTCACTGATTTTAATTCTGCTTACCGTATCTCAAGCATCTCTCAATGTATGCAACTCCGACTAGAGCTCTCTCCCAGAGCCAAGATAGTGACTGAGATGGCTGGATTTTGGTTCTCGTCCCCAGCACAAGCAGCCTGTAAATATTATCAACTTATAAATGCATCAGAATCTGAAACAGAAAAAAAAATATTGTTAGTTGGGTTGTTGTAAAATGAAGTCAGCGTATTTTCACTATTTAGTTAGCAATGCTAATGCAGCTGGGTTAGATTTTCGATAAATTTCAGCTAAATTTGCCTAGCAAAAAGGTTGCCACACAAATATTGAAACTGAAATTCTTTATGTTTGCCTACTAAAATCTACAAAAGTGATGGGCCATTGAACAGCTGATCTTTCCTCTGTAGCCACCCCACTGCCATATTCGATAGCCACATCAAAAGTTGATTTTTCTTATAGACATTGATGTGATTGGTCAATCTGAGTGATCTTGAGCATCATTATGTATGATTTTTTATAGTTTAAATCCCATTGTAACATTTTTATCATAAAATAGCGCAGCATAAAAAATATACTTTTAAAAATACCTCCTATACTTTTGGATTCTCTGGCGGTACATCGTATACGGCTGCAAGGTGCGCAATGCAGAGGAAGTCCGACATATTGCATCTCTATGATTTGCAGTCTTCTGTGAGAACCTTAATAATGGTGTCTGGAAAAAGTAAATCAACGTACTCTACCCTCGCCTGCATCCTCCCCAATTCAACCCAGGGACTGCTGGTTTCTGGATGGAGATTGTTGCCTGGCCCCAGATGATACCAACCTGGTAGGCAGCCCACTGCATGTTCATGAGGGCTTGCTGGGTTGGTGGGCAGGTCATATAGTCTCTGCTTGCAGGAAAAGAAATTTAGTCTTGCCTGATCTACCAGTGGCTCCACTAAATCCTATGCATTTGCCTTATGAGGACAGCATGTCAGCACAAGGTTCCAGAATTTAGACTGTGAACTCTCAAGCCTCCAGATTGTTTACACAGTCTTCAAAACTCAGATTCGACCTTTCTGGGCCCATCAGTGCAATAATCCTGTATGCACTCCTTCGTCCAGTTTAGCCTGCAGCATGCTGATGTGCTAGTCTTGTCTTAATTACACCATGCAGGCCATGAAAAAGACTCTGCTGTACCAGATGAAGCCACTCCTGCTTCATAAAGGGAACTGGTCAACCTACCTGTCTTGTAATAGCGTTCCTGTGATCTCAGTGCAGCCATCTCTGTGAAGTCCCCGAACATAATAACATGCCTGTTTTTCTCCACTTACTCCAGGCCAATGCCATTTAGTTTGTTTTGCCCAGGGCATACAGTGGCTGGTCAGCAGCTATGTTGGGATCTGACTAGGTTCAGCCACTGTATCTAAACCTTTTCATGACATGCTGATGTGGACGCACAGAGTACTTCTGATCTCCAGCAGAAGCAGGGCGTAATGCTCGCTAGATGGCTGACTCCTGTTCTAGTATATGCATAATCAGGCTGCTGACGTGATGCAGGCTTCATCAGCCACATCCTCAATGAGCAAGGCCTCTTCAATAAGCATACTCTTCTTTGGAAGGTCTTGATTGGATTCAGCTCAGGTGCTGGCAATGACTGAGGTGCTACAAGGGAAGTTCAGGATTCTTCAGAATATAAGCCAATTAGGACATTGGTGAATACTCCTGGGCTTCCAGGAACTTTCTTGACCATCGTCTGCATTTGCAGTCTGGTGGCTCTTTGTCTCACCAGCCTGCTCCAGGGCTTGGATGTTGAAGATGGACCACACCTGGTCCTTTGGAAGGACGTTTGTACGTGGTCACAGTGGTTATTGGTCAATGTTGTCCCTGCTGAAATCATCAGAACAACTGCTTCCTCAAGATTGGACACACACTCTCTTCCACGTGCCTGTATACAACTGCTTCTCTAACTGACAATGTGTTGTAGAACTGCAATGCTTATGAGAAAGCTGACCCATTTTTCGTGCAACTGTGTCGTGTTTGCCTCTTTCTTGTCTTAGCAAACACAGACATGCAAGTGCTTATAGAAGTGTAAAAAGGTGTCTCATGGTCTAAAGTGTCTGTGGATTTGTGTTCCCTACCTGATTGTAAGCAGTGTACTGTAAGATCTTGTGACACCTGGGTCCAGACTTGATCGCCATGCTGGAGTTTAGGATTTGATATCTGCACCATATTTGATCAGCTACTTGCAGAGTGAAGCAATGATGGTGGGACAACCTAATTTCAATGCATCCTTCATGGTAATGTACTGCTGAAGTGTGACTTGTGCTGAAGCATATTCCAGTCATATCATCAGCAGCAGCAGCCAGATGGATCGGCGTCCACTGTGTTGCTTGCTTGTGCCCAGGATTGAGCCAACATCCTTCTCAAGGCCAGTAGGATATCTCTTCCTTGGTGATGAGCTTGCAGCTGGGGATGTGAAAAAAGCAGCTGGTCTTTCAGTCAGTAGCATAGACGTAGGCTGGTCAACACCTAGCTGCTCAAGTCTCTGTCTGCAGGGGTGTGACCACGGGTCAGCAAGTCCAGAAAATGGGTGGTTCAGTACCTGCATAAAGCTTTCATCAGGTGATCTTAAGTGACTGACTAGTTCAGAAAACAGTTGGGTATCGTCAGCGGCTGGGATTCAAGCTCTGCCTTCTTCTTGCTCTGAAACATTTCGGTGTGTTCTTTCGGTTGTGCAGACACCTGCGCCAGGCAGCGAGGGTGATACTTCCAGTTATTGTGCCACAACATCTCCTGCACTTGGTTTGGCAAGGTTTCCGCCGCTAAAGATGTCTTCGCACGATCATTTCATCATTTTATTAAGTTTCATTGTCATTCATGTCTTATGTCATCTCCGGCTTCTTTACTCCATAGAAAGCATTCTTGATACTGCTTTGGGGTCCTCTGACCATTCATTAGTATCTTGCTATTGCTGCTCTCTCTGCTTAGCAACTGCAGAGGTTAAGCCTTTCTGAGCTCTATTAAACTTTATGTTGTTGAACGAAGTTTACAACTCTCATGATACTGTACCTTGTTTCTCCTCAAGTCTCCTCTATCCCATCATCTTCAACAAGTCTTGCAGTCAAGCTTGTTTGGCAGTCATTGATTGAATGAAATAAAGATATTCCTTGCCAAGCTCTTGTAACCGTCATCTCCTTTTTGTGGATGTAGCCAGAACTTAAGATCTTCCTTCTTATCCTGTTGACAAGGTATGTTTTTGTGTCTAATATTTTTGATCTTTGGGGCGAGGTCTGTCGCACACCGCCTGACCAGGCATATATCAGGATACAGCATGGGTTCATACGCTGCTACACTGATACGATCGTTCAGTAAGTGTCATTAATGATCCGTGCGATCTGTACACCTGTCAGATAACTAAAAACCCCGTTGTTCTGGCAGCTCAAGCTCTCCCATGCTGGCACATCCTGTCAATTCCAAGTAGCATTTATACAACGATTTATTGATTG